GGATGTCGAGGGCGGCGGCGTCGAACTGGGGGCTGGTGTCCGTGACTCGCGGCCAGGCGGCGCGGCCAGAGATGGCGACCTAGATCCTGGCGCGAGGACGGAGTTCCGGCGGAAGTTGCCGTTCGTTCTGGTTGAACAGAACCAGGAAGCCGACGCCGCCCGCGTCGGTGACAGGCGCTCCGTCGACGATCATCGGGGAGTGGCACGGCTTGTATTTGTGCTGCGTGGAGTTGGCCAGGAGGGTGAAGTCGCCCAAAGTGCCATGCGTTTCTCGCGCTGCAATGAGAGCCCGCTGTCGGAAGCATGGAAGGAGCAGGCGACGCTTATCAGCACGACGCTGACCTGAATGACCGAGTAGAACTTGGGTGTTCCAGAAAGCGACGTTGAGGCCCTCCTGCGAGGGCGCGGGGGGCCACGGGCTCCATCGGTGGCTAGAACCACTGCGTCGCAGAGATCGCGTCAGCGAAATGGGACTCGAACTCGGACTGGATCCTCCGCTGCAGGGAATCGTTGAAGACTCGGTCGATAGCAGCGTGGACCACTGGAGCTTCGTGGGCACGCCAGCGTTGCCACCGAGAAGAAGGCGCACCAAAGGTTCACCACGTTTCGCCACGAAGCCCAAGGTTCGGCGTGGACGCAGGTCCATTTCTGGCTGTGGATTTTGCATGATCTTGGCGAGGCGCTTGACCCAGACCTCTGCGCGCATTGCTCTAGGGCTTTTGTCGGCAGGTGCTCAGAGAAGAACGTGCGAACAGTTAGCCGCATTGTGAGAAAAGGTCCTCCGTTCTTCCCCATGGCGCAAAGCACTGTGGAGGCGCTGTGCTCGAGGTTCCGCAACCACAGTTCCGCCGCTGACTTGAAACGAATGGCGCCTGGCGGGGCCGACAATGTTGAAAATGGCCATGTTCTTATTGATCTCGGGTTTCTCGAACCAGTCTGCAGGGCGCGCCCGAGCTCGGGCTGGGTGAACTCTTGCGGGCTGCTGCGCCAGAACGTGGTGGGGTCAGGGTCGCGGTCCCAGGTGCTCAGTCCGTCCAGGTTGAATGCAGGTGCTCTGGCTTCTGCAGATGTGACGATGGCTTCCAGCTTGGCGACGGCGGCTTTGAAGTCGGCGTCCTGCTGCTCGAGGATGTTGGTGCGCTCGTTGGCTAAGGTGATGGGTCGTACTGTATCTTCGTGGCGTTTGCGGAGCTCTGCGGTGATATGCATGAGATTGTCGAGGGATTCTTTGCTAGCTTGTGAGTGACGGCTCTGGCGGTGGCATCGAACTTGTCGGAGGCGTCTCTGATCTGCGCGACCATGGTCTCCTCAAACTGCTTTCGAACATGAGCGGGTAGGTCGTGCACTGCAAGCTTCGCTGCTCCATCGTGCCAGGGGCCCTGCTGTCGATTGCCACAATCGTAGTCTTGACCACTGGCTGCTGATGACGCTGGTGCTGCTGCAAGTGGTGTTGCTGGCGTTCCCATGGGAGCAAGCGGAGGCCCGCGCCAGCCTCGGTCGATCGCGCGTGGAGGCTGCTGCAGGCGAGCGCAAAGCCGAATGTGGAGCTCAACCAGCAGGGCAGCTAGAAGGCGTGGGATTGAAACCGGGTCCTTAGCTGTCCCTGGACCAAGGGTCTCCGTGCTTTGCCACGGGGCGGAATCATCTTGAGCCAAATTGGCCACGGACGACGAGGACGAGGAGGAGGAGCAAAAGGAAGCAGACAACGAAGATTATCGAGGATCGAGAGTCAACGTATTTGATGGAGGGGGCAACGGAAACTGAAGGTCCCGCTGGAGGCGGAGGAGGCGAGATGGAGGAGGGAGAAAGGGAAGAGAGGAGGAGAGAGGCGGAGGAGGCGAGCGAAGAAAGGAAGGGTGAGAGAGGCGGAGGAGGCGAGAGGCGGGAGCAAGGAAAACGGCAGAGGACAGGCCGAAAGGCGCGCCGCTAGCCCGCCGCCTTCCCTCCTCCTTCCCCGCCCCCCCAGCTGGTGGCGCAAGTGGCTGGCGCCCCGCGAAGGGCCACCCAGCGGGAGAGAGGGGAAAAGAGGAGGGGGGAGAGGGGGAGAGGCGGAGGAGGCGAGGGGAAGGAGGAGGGAAGAGGGGGAGAGAGGAGGGAGGAGGAAGGAAAGAGGCGGAGGAGGCGAGACGAGGGAGGAGGGAAGAAAGAGGTGGAGGAGACGAGAGGGGGGAGGAAAGAAGCGGGAATTGAAGAGGGCAGCCCGACAGGCGAAAGGGCCGTCTGATATCCGACACTTGGACACTCCCACAGTTTCTCTCGGCGAGCCGGTGCGAAGATCGGAGGAGAGCCGCTTGAGATCCGACAGCTGGATACTCCCACAGTTTCGCCATCACGCGGTCTCTTCCCTCTACTCCTCGTTCTCGTCCTGTGCTGGCTGCTCGCCATCACTCCCAGGGTAGCTGCTAGCCGCCACGTTCTTTGCCGCCTCCGCAATGGAAAAAGCTTGTCCGCCGAAGCTATTCGCATTTCCGCCGTCTGCGCGGCGCACACAGGCGCAGTGGTTGCTGCAGGTGTTGGGGTGCTTGTAGAATCCCCCACCCAACATTTAAACACACATCGGCCGTAGGATTGTGGGCAGAATAATAAATCTGAGTCTGGGTGGGACCCTTTCTGGAAGCCTTAACGAGATTATTAACAGGCTTTTGGCCACGATGTTGAATACAATGTTTGATATGATTTCGGATGCAATTTTTTAATAAGGACCAAGAAGGAACCAATTAAGACAAATATGGACATCGAAAGACATATCCCTTGAACATGAAGGTTTTCGGGCCCTTGGGACCCTCCTCTTTTCTCCATCCGTGTTTTTCGAATGCCGAAAAGAATCCCTCTAAACTCCGTCACAACAAATATCTTTTTGTACCCAGCTACAAGACGAATCCTTTTGTAATCCGACACAGCAAGAATCCGCTGCACTCCGTCACAAAAGGAATATGTCTGTCATCCACCAAGAAGGAATCCATCCGATTTCTGTCACTGGAAACGGTTTATAATCCGCCACAAAGGGATTCCTTTTGTACTCCGCCAAAAAAGGATTTCGATTGAAATGGATTTAATAATTGAAAAACTTGTGTATTCACAGCGTGCTAGTTAATATTATTGGTGTTGCCTGTTCTTGCGCAGCGTTGTAGCTTTTGTTAAGCCGAGCTATTGCTTGTCTTCATGTACAGGCACAGCGGGCACAGCATCTCGAATGATTTTACAACTACGGCAATTGGGAATCCTATAATAAAAACGGACTAACAGCTGCGCGGGCTCAAACAAACTTAATAGTTGTTAGTAGCACATACACATATACCTTGTGCTTTCACAGCTGTTTAGCTACTCGAATACAATACTATTTGCCATAGTTGAACAATCATTTAAGGTGCTGTGTTCGCTATGTTTTTCAAGGGGACAAACAACATGTTCAATTAAGAAATGCTACATGGCTGTGCAGGCACAGGCGAAGCCAACCTTTTTAGCACGCACATGCTAAACACGTTGTGAAAACACAGTTGTTTAGCTATGGTTATCTAGTAAGGATCCATACTTGGAAACTCATTCAAAGTGCTGTGTTCGCTGGCCCGCGCATGCCAAAACATATCGTTTAATTTAAAATGCTAAATGCGCTGTGCAAGCACAGGTGAGACCAACACTCTCGACAGGAGACTGCTAAAACGCTGTGAAAGCACGTGTCTTCCGATGTATTCCATCAAATGTCATGGAATTTCTTTTGTGGCGAAATACCTGAGGAATCCCTCTGTGGCGGGTTACAAACATGTTCCTTTTTGTGACGGAATGCAACCGGATTCCTTTGTGACGGATGACAGACAGATTTTCTGTGACGGACTGCAAAGGGTTTCCGTATTCCTGATATGGCGGAATACAAAAGGATTTTCTTTGTTGCTGAATACACTAGTTGCGGAATATAAAAGGATTTCCTTTCTGGCGGAATGCAGAAGACTGTGTTGCGTGGCAGATTACAGCAGGATCCTTGCTGTGGCGGAACACAAAAGGCTTGGTCGTGCAGAACAAAAACAGAGGGAGGGGGGCCACGTGAACCGCCAGGTTCCGCTGGCACCCTCTACGATTTGGACGCGCCTTGGTATCTCTTTGGGCATCTGGGAGCGCCCTCGTCGCCACTGGCGGAAATCCCCCCCCCTGAAGCTCCCGCGGGGGAGCTCCGAGAGTCGACCTGCTCCGAGCCCCCGCGCACAAACCTCTGGCGGCTCGAGGACGTCGCGCCAGAAACACATTTGGGCGCGAATTCATGGGGTGGGCGATCAATGAGAGGGGGAGAAAAGAGCCCCTTTTCGGCCACTGGATGCCCGCATTGGGGCCCTAGAGTGCCCGTTCAGGCGCCCTCAGGGGCCCCTTTTTTGCAGCCCTCGCGGCCCCCCATGTATCGCCCACCCCCCCCACGAATTCGCTCCCAACTCATCGCTTCGGTTCGTCCTCCGAGAAGGGGGGGGGGGGGGGGGGGCGCTTCCGGGCCCTGGGCCCGTCCACAGGAACAAGCTCAGGTGGAAAGCTGGTTCGTGGGGAAGGGATCGGGAGGAACAGAGGAGAGGAGAGAGGAGGGGAGGGGGGGGAGGAGGGAGGGAGGGAGGAGGGAGGGAGGGAGGGAGGGAGGGAGGGAGGGAGGGAGGGAGGGAGGGAGGAGGGAGGGAGGAGAGGGTAGGAGGAGGAGGAGGAGGAGGAGGAGGAGGAGGAGGAGGAGGAGGAGGAGGAGGGGGATGAGGCAGAAGGGGTCACGTGGTGGACCCCATCGAGCCGTCGAGGTCTGTGGGGCCCCCGACGCAAGAGAAGGGAGGGTCTGGTTCGGGCTGGAGCGGCCGCGGTCGGGAGCAGAGCATCATCACGAGGCTCGATGGTCGGTCCGTCGCAACGTGGCACAATCGCACAAGGCTTCGGATGCCCCCGCAGACCTCTGGAGATCGTTCGACCTTCTGAAGGGTGGTCCTCGGATGCGAGCTGTTTCGTAGCCTTTCGCTTCTACGCTCGGCGGATGCCCCCGCAGACCTCTGGAGATCGTTCGACCTTCTGATCGTACCGCGTGCACGGAGGCATATCTGAAGGGCGGTCCTCGGATGCGAGCTGTTGCGTAGCCTTTCGCTTCTACGCTCGGCACCCTGCTGCCGTCCAAGTGAGTGGCCTCTGTTTCTTTAGGACTGGCGCCCACTGCATGCTCTGAGGATGGCTCAAGATTGGTCAACCTCAGAGTCAGTCCATCGCAGACCTCCACTCGTTGGACAAGGACTGCGCTGCTCGCACTGTTGGAGGAGTGGCACACAATGTCAAAATGCAGACAGCTGCGAGAGCCAATGCGACTTGAAGCCGCTGCAGCGGGGCGAGGGGAGGGGAGGGTATCACAGCAACTGCAAAAGAGAACTAAATGTTCACGAATGCGTGCACGCGCGCAGCGCAGTTGCAGCGCTTCGCTGCAAAAGTGCTCAGATTGTGCATGTCGCCATGCCTTTGTACAAACAGCCGCCGTGCAACCTTTCAACAATGGACGCAACTGAACGGGCTGGTAGAAAAAGTTGTGATGCACGTTGAGCGAAAAAATGGAACCACTGGAGCTGCTAATCTAGTGCAGGGCTGAACTGAAATTGCTCTGCGAGATCGGCGGACCTGAATAGCACACCTCCAAAGTGAGCCTTGGTCCATTGCGCAAATCCAGTCTGTACTTACAATTCTGTGCGAACTATTCCAACCGGGCATCTCTGCATTCCACCACCCCCACCCTGATGGCCACCCTGATGGGAATCTCATGCAATATCTCCAGTCTTGTGGAGAACGAGTAAAGACGCCGAAATTGAATTCGGAAGATTGTCAAACAGCTACCAGAGGGTACTTCTTTTGACCTGAGCTGTCCAGCACAATCCTGAGATCGACGATATCGTAGCGGTCGGAATCGATATCCTGAGAAGCGCGCTTCAACTGCACCTTGACTGCCTGACCGGGCGCGAGCTGATCGAGAACCCTGACAACATCGGTGGAGCTGGCGATGCTCTTCCCCTCGATGCTTGCAATGATATCGCCCAGGTGGCCATTCCCAAGTGCCCGCAAACCTGCCCTCGAGGCGGGACTATCTCGAACCACCTGTTTCACCATCACCCCGTCGACGCCGAGTGCCTTTGACATGGCAGCTGGTGCGAAGGTGACGCCCAACACTGCCCTGCTGACGTATCCGTTAGAAAGCATCTTGGTAACGTGCTGCTCGACCAGGTCGATTGGAATGGCCAGGCCCACGCCACCGAATGACCCAGTGCTGGACAGGATCCCGGAGTTAATGCCCACAACTCTACCTTTGCTGTCCAGCAGCGGCCCGCCACTGTTTCCTGGGTTGATGGCCGCGTCGGTCTGAATGACTCCTCCCATTGGCCTACCTCCCATCCCCATGGGCATTGTCCGTGACACGCCACTGACGATGCCCCGACTCATGCTGTGCTCTAGCCCATACGGATTGCCAAGTGCAAAAACCTCTTGCCCTGGCACCAGGGTGGACGAGCTTCCGCGGCTCATGGGCCGGATCAGCTTGTGCACCTCAGAATCACGCAGTGAAGGTGCTTGGAGGACTGCGATGTCAGAAAGCGGATCCCCTCCCACAAGGACTAGTTTGTGAATGCTGCGGATCTCGTTGCCGCTTGGGCCAGTTACCAAAAACGTTGCGTACGGGTCCGTCATATGCGCGATGACATGGAAGTTTGTCACGATATGGTCGTCGTCCCAGATGAAGGCGCTCCCCGTTGCCCCACTCGGCGCAGGCATCCCTTGCAGGAGCCTCGTAAAACCTTCGGAGATGCCCAGCACGCTCGGGGAGCTCCGAGAGAACAGCTCGACCTGTTGCAGCTCCTGGCAGAAGAGAGAGACAGAGAGAGAGAGACAACTGTGCACACACACACACACACACACCGATCCTGGCCAGCCCAAGCATGGGCCCCGTTCTGGCCTGGCCGTGGAGGCTTTCACCCCGATCCTGGGTCCAGGACGGGCCCAGCCAGGATCGGTACACGTGCACTTGCGCACCCAGACGTGCGGCGCCATCAGCTTTTCAACAGGCGCTCCCCAGAAGTCCCGGCCGAGGGCAGGTTTCTTTCCGGTCCCGAAGCCCGGCGGAGGGCCCTGGAGGCCGAAGATGGCCTCAAAACCTTGGTGAGCGTTTTCGTATTCGGCGTTTCGACATTGGGCGGAAGGGAGGGGGGGGGGTCTGCCTCAGGACCTCTGCTTAGTGCGACTGTTTGGAACCGTGCGTCCTGTGGGGGACACTCCACCTGCCTGAAACAAGCGCCCAGAAGCAGCCAAGATCTACTCCATGGAGGGGGGGGGGAAGTGGGGGGTGCGAGGGCCCGCGCCGATCGGCAAAACAGTGAATAGAAAAACGGTCACCTGCCGTGCTCTGTGTCACGACGCGAGGCCTATGCCCGCGCACAGCCCTCGCCGTCCCGTCCTGGGGCGTCAGCCTCGCCGCCGCCGTGCCCGGCCCGGCCGCGAGGCCTCCCAGCGCGAGCAGCGCGCCGCCCGCGCCGGCGAGCGCCGAGCGCCTGCCGGCGGCGGAGCCGCGCCGGGGCGGCGGCTCGGCGAAGGCCGCCCGGCCGCGCGGGCCGAGCAGGCCGCCGAGGACGAGCAGCGGAGCCAGCAGGCGCTGCGGGGCGCGGCGCGGGGCCGCACGGCGGCGGGCGCCGCACCTGCGGGCAGAGGGCGCCTCCCCTGACCTTCCAGAGAGCTATTTTTTAGCACTGGAGACCTAAAAATCTAATAAAAAAAAGCGAAACGGCCTAAAACCAAGACATAGAATAGCTCTGGGATAGGTTTTTAAGTCGGGTGCTATTTTTTAGCCCTCCTGGAAAGTCAGGGTCTGCAAAGCACCACAGCTGCCCTGCCGGGGCCACCCTCTGGGCACCGGCGTGGGCTCAGCTGCCCCGATGCGCAACGCGCAGCACGTATATCGTATCGATGCGGAGCTCCACACGCAGGCTGAAAACGTGGGTCCGACGCGATACCTTCGCCAAAACGTGGTCCAATACGTGGAGCCAACACGCAACGTATTGACACGGACGTCTCGAACACGGGACGTGTTGCGTTTCAAAGCGCGCGTATCGAGGCAACGAAGCTGGCGTGGAGTGTGCGACTTCGTGGCCACGGCCACCCTTGCACAGACACGCTGGCGTCGTGACGGAAACTACGCCAGAAGGTTTTTGGGTCATCTTTGGCCTCCAGGGGCGATGGAAAATTGGCCTCAAGTCGGGACTTCCGGGGACGGTGTTTGGAATAAGGCTGGCGAAGGACCCAACCATATGCGGGTGCGAGTGCCCCAAGGCAGATGGGACGAAGAAAGGGCAGCTCCCTATGGAACCACGAGACGTGTAATGGATGTGCCGAGTTGGGTGCGGGGCGGTCATGCGGACCCTGCCGTTGGGGCCTTCGGAGGAAGTCAGTACGAGGCCACGACATGTGTGAGCGGTATGCGGACTGGGGTGCGGGGCCGCCATGCAGACCCTGCCGTCGGGGCCTTCGGCGGGGCCCACTTTATGGAGCCGCGAAACGTGTGAGGGGTGTGCCGAAATGGTTGCGACGCCACTGTGGGAACTGCGTCACTGGGACCTTCGGTGGAGCCCCCTGTGGGGACACGAGGCGTTTGATGTGCGTGCCGAAATGGGCGCGGGGCCGCCAGAGGAGCGTGTGAGGGGCGTACCGAAATCGATACGACGCCACCATGCGAACTGCGCCACTAGGGCGCCTTTGGGAGTGGTTCCGACCAAGGGGACGAAGCGTGTGATGGCGTTCCGAGGCATGGTCGGACGATGCGAACTGCGCCACTATGGCCGTCGGTGGAGGACCCCGTGGAGCCACCAAACGTGTGAGTGGGTACCGACATGGGAGCGACGCCATCGCGCGAACTGCGCCACTGGGGCAGTTGGTAGAGCCCCAATTATAGGGCCGCGAGACGTGTGAGAGGTGCATCGAGATGTGCGCGACGCCACCATGGGAAATGCGCAACTGGTGCTTTCGGTGAAGCTCCCATTAAGGGCACGACGCGAGTGAAGGGTGTGCCGAGTTGGGTGCGGGGCCACCATGCGAGATGCGCCAGTGGGGCCTTCGGTGGAGCTCCCCGTGGGGCCACGAAACGTGTGAGGGGTGTGTCGAAATGGGTGCGACACCACCATGCGAATCGTCACTGGGGCCTTGAGTGTAGCTCCCGCCAGGGCCCCGAAAAGTGTGAGTGGTGTGCCGGCATGGGTGCGGCGCCGCGAATTGCGATGCGACGGCACCATCCGAACTTTGCCTCTCGGGTTCGGTGGAGTTCCCTGTAGGGCCACGAAACTTACGAGGGGTGTGCCGAAGCTGGTGCGACACCACCAAACGAACTGCGCCACTGGGGCCTCAGCTGAAGCCCCCTATGGGGCCACGAGCCGTGTGAGGGGTGCATCGAAATTGACGTTGAGAGCCGATGGTGATGAGGATGAGGATAGCGTTGAGAATGACGATGGCGATATGCTGGTGATGGTGATGACGGCAATGCCGATAGAAACGGTGATGATGATGGTGATGCTGATGACGATTATGGCAACGATAACGATGCTGACGGGGATGTTTTGTTCATCAGCGATCCCCTTGGAGGCCAAACCCAGGGTTGACAGGCTATCGCGTGCCTGCTGAAGAGGAAGCCGACGCAGCCTTTGTTTCAGTTTCCTTGGCCTGGACCCGCTGCAAAAGAGCAGCCATCCTCGAGTTCTGGGGGAGCACGTCCAAATTGGTTGTGCTCGACGCGGCTCCAGACGGAGGCGGCAGCCTGGCAGTAAACCACATATGAGCTGCACCCCTGCGAATGCTGGCCGGCACCGTGGGCTTGCCACGGTAATGAAAGAAATAGCCTCCTTAGATCCTACGCAAAGTGGTGGGAGCGCCCGGGAGCATATGTTGCGAGCACTGCTTCCCCACCATGTGGCGACAATTCGCAATATAGGTACCGCAAGCCATGCCAAAAAACAGGGTCCTCTCCTCGGGACCTCGCTGCACACGACAGTGGCCAGTGTGTGTGTGCCCAAGGGAGAAGCCCAATGCAGACCTCATCGTTTATTCATACTTTTGCAACGGAGCAGTAGTCTCGAGGCGCTGTCCGTCGAAAGGCACAGACAACTCAGGCACCTGGATCGGTTGTACTCCACGTCCCCCCGAGCATGCCACCCTCGAGACTTTAAAAACTTGCCCTGGGACCAACGAACAAACGCTCGAACCCTCCTTAAGGTAAAACGGCCAAGACTTTGCCCGCAACACGGGCTATGACTCTGAGTAACTTACATTATCGCCTATCTACCCCTGAAATCCGAGCGAAGAAAGTTAAGAGCGCTCGAGGAGAACTCGCCTAGCCAATTCGTCCGCGTCGCAACAACAAGTTGGTCGTCCTCAGGCAGCATATTTATCACCTGTCTAGCTCTGTGTGAAGGTGTGTGAAAGACAGGCGACGGAATGGTCATGCCGCTCGTGGAGAAGAGCTCCACGTCGAATACCAACATTTCGAAATTGTCGCGCAACTTGCTGCTCAGATGCAGCAGAACAAATCTCAACTACGGTGGTGCTGTCCGTGTACCCGAAAACTACGCACTCCTGAAACGTAGGGATCAACGCCATGGCCTGATGCTCAAAGGCTTTGGAGGTTCGGGGGAGGACATCGAGAACCGTACCACGGGCCTCGGCGATGATGTTGTCCGGAACAGGGCCCAGGAAAATCCAGTAAGAGGTCGTGGACAGCTCACGAATGCAATGTCGCGCCGCCGAACCATCAACACATACATCAGCTCCCCGCAGGTCGATCGTACCCCGACTGACACTGAGCCCCCTCAGCACTGTACAGAGTCGGGTTGGGGTTGTCTGAGAGGGGGGAGGGGACTTTCGGGATGTTCCTATTTCATTTCGTCGGCGTAATACATAGCATCACTGTCAAAAACCGCACCCTGCTACTCCAGGGAGACGCCAGCAAGAGCCCTGGTATCTGACTGAGTCGCCTCAGGATGTGAACAATGATAATAGTGTGGATGAGAAAGGTGAGGATGTTGATAATGAAAATGATGACGATGACGATGACGATTAGGATGACGATGATGCTGATAGCGATGCTGATGATGTTGCTGATGATGATGAAGATGATGATGATCGTGTTGATGATGGTGATTGTGATGATGAATATGATGATGATGATGATGATGATGAAGCTGATGATGATGATCATGGTGGTGATGCTGATAATGGTGATCGTGATGATGACGATGATGACGATGATTAAGAGGATGATCATGATGATGATGACGATGGTGATGACCAACATGATGATGATGATGCTGATGATGATGATGATGATGATGATGATGATGATGATGTTGATGCTGATACTGATGATGATGAGGAGGAGGAGGATGATGGTGATGATGATGATGGTGAGGCTCAGGCTGAGGCTGAGGATGACATTGATGTTGGTGATGATGATGATAATGATGGTGGCAATGACGATGATGGTGACAAGGACATGCGGAGGGCAGAGGCACGGATGGGAAGAGGAAGGAGGGAGTGAGGTGATCAAGGACGCAGGGAGATGCGTATTCAAAACGAGGACCAAACACCTCAGGATGGTTGGAAGCAAACCAAGACATCGCATGTCTGGGGAAGGCCCATGCACCGTGCCTGGGGCCCAAGGTGGCCGCGGCCGGGCGTGATTCGGAGCAGGGAGAGTTGAGACAACGGCAACTCCAAATCGGTCCGCGGACCCGTTCCCAGGTCCAAACGCACCAGTGTTCCGAGTTGCGTCCAGCCGAAGCGATGAGCCCCCCCAAAGGCCAACTGCTATTAAGCAGGGACCGACCGTCCCGGCATTCCTATAGGCCTACCGCGAAATCTTCTCCGAACAACAGGGTGTCCTAATGACAAAAGCTACACTCTTAGAGCATAAGACCGGTTGATCAAGGCAAGACCATCTCAACCAAAAATGTTCTAAGAACATGTCGTGCAAACCACAAAAGGCCGTAAGAGGATTTCTGTGGTGGGCCTATATACGGTAGGTTCGTGCGGCGTCGGCGCGCGCAAAGGCTTGTGACACCGCGTCGATCGTTCAACCTTGAAACAATCGCGGCCCCGATCGCGTCGATCGTTCAACCTTGGAACAATCGCGGCCCCGATCGTTCAAACTTGCATTCCGTCGGGTCCAATGGCGCTGCTGTGTCCCTCGGAGCTTCCGCGTCGCAGAACTTCGACCTTGAAAACGCCTTCGCCAGCGCCGCCGGCGCGCCGACGCCGCACGAGCCTGCCGCAGGCGAGTCAGGGCGCTGCGCCACCCCAGATGGTCTGGTACCGGAAATTTTCGGTAGCGATTTCGACGCACCCCGAATTTCGGTAGCGACCGGATCTTCGTTTGAGGGCGTTGAAATAACGGATTTCGGAACGCTCTGATACCGGTATTGGGCGCTGCATTTCGGTATTTCGGTAGCGACCGATCTCTGCGGAGCGCTACCGGAAATTTTCGGTAGCGGACCATCAGGGACTGCTTCCCTGCCGGTGTCCCAGCTCGCCCCCCTGCTGGGCGGTGGCTTGGGCGCGGGCGCGCCCTCTGCGGCGCCTGCCCCCCGCCGGGGGCGCTGCCGCCCTCGGGCCCGTGGCCGCAGCCAATGGCGCAGGCCGCGGGGGGGCCATCTCCATGTGCGGGGCGCGCCGCGGGGCCTTGGCGGCCGTCCGCCCCCCCGCGGGGGCCTCGGCGGGGGGGCAGCGCCCTCGAGAGCCTCCCGCGGGCGTGGGGCCGGGAACGGCTGCGGCGAGGCCCGGGCCTCCGGGCCGTCGGCCGCCGGCGAAGCCTCCGGGCGGCGCACGGGCCGGGTCCCGCGGGAAGTCCCGCCTGGCCTCGACGGCAGGGGCCCCCTGGCCGGGGTCCGAGAAGAAGGAGTGCCCCACATCGCCGAGGCGTCGGCGATGCATCGGCACCGTCGGCGTGGAGCACATTGGGCCCCACATCGAGCCGCATCGCCGATGTGTCGGTGATGCGGCGCGGTCCTCCGAGCCCATCTGCTCGGACCCCATCTGGGAGGCCCAGGAACATGCACTCCGGGTAGCCCCAGCTGGCCTCCACAGGCCCCCCGAGTAGCCCAAGGCGGTCTCAACATCCTGGCGGAGCCTCCAGCGGCGGCGCCCATGAGGCCCGGGGGCGCTCTGCGACACAGGGTTGTGGCGTTGGCGTCTGGCGTCGGTTGGCCTCTGGCGCCGGTTTGTGCCTGGTGTCGCTCCAGGCGCCAAGCACATCCGAGATCGCCCGGCATTGCGGATGCCATGGCAATGGGCACCCTAACAATCCGATCATTGAACTAAACACGTGTGTTCACATGTCGGATAAAATGCCCTGCGAATGTTTGAAGCATGTTTTTTATATATGTGTAAGACATGTTCAAAACATCTGTTGGACATCTGGGAATGATTTGGCTACGTGCTTCCTCGCAATTGATCAGCGTCCACAAGCCTGGCATCGGACGATCCTGACATCTGGCGCTCGTGCGCTTCCCTGGCCCTCGCCACGTGGCTGCCTCCGCCCGAGCACTGCGAGGAGCGGCGCGTCGCTCCGTGACCGAGCAAGCGCCCGTGGCTGGCCTCTGGGGGAGAGAAGCGCGGGGGGGATTCCCGGTGGCAGTTCATGGGAGCCTCTCGTAATGCGGGATGACGATTAATAAAAAAATGGGAGAGAACGATTAAGAAAATAGTTTCCTGCTATTTCTGCACAACTTTTTTGACTGGAGGAGAACGATAAAGAAAATAGTTGTCCAGCCCGCGGCCGGTTTTTTCTAATCGTCATCCCGGGCGCCGCCGCGTGAACACGACCCCCGGTCATTTATTAATCGTCATCCTCCATTATCACCTTGTTGGCCCCTGCGAATCGACGCTGCCCGACGCCAGTCGACGCTGAATCGGCGCTAATCGAGGCTAAGGCGGCGCGATTCTGTCGATCACCCGACGCTCATCGACGCTGGTGCACTCCTTAAGACAGAGCCACGAGGGTGCACAAGGCTCCCAGGATTTGCTGCCAGAAAGGATCAGAGGATGGGAGGGAGCTTCAGCCCGTGCTTAAGCGCATAGGGTTACTGTGTCAGCTTCAGCAGCCCGCTTCGCGTCTCAAATCTACTAGGCGAAACCCAGCTCACAAGGCCACCGTAATGCCGTTCCTGCGGAAGCTCGCATCCGCGACGTAACTCCACCACTCGACACTCCACCACTCGACCGCAGGGAGCAATAAGCGCGACGACATTGATGACCCTCGACGGGTAACGTTGCAACGACGCCAGCAGGGAGCAACACCAGCGGGAACATGCCAATTGTTATACTACGCCATCCATTCGTCTTGCAATATGCTTGCAAATGCCAATCGGTGCTGCGAGCAATGCCAAGGGTTGATCGAGCGAACCATACACGAAGTGTGCAATATCAGACTTCCAGGCTGTAGAGAAGCACTGGGACGCATTCGGCCCCCCCGCTGCTGTAAACACTCGGGGGGCTGACAACATCCAAGATCCCCCGGAAGTGCATGCGAGAACACCCGAAAGCCTCCAAGCCCCCCCCCCAACTTGTTTTTTTGTTCTGGGGTGTCAGACCAGAGGTCTGGGTCTTAATGGTTAGTAGAAACGACAAGGCAAAATTTTGATCAATCTTAGTTCTTGCCTTCTTTGGGATTCCGGCGCCGTTCTTGTTTCGGGCTCCGTCGCCGTTTGTTCGGGCTCCGGGACGTCTCGAGCGGTTTGTTCGTTCATGGCCTGCGACTCGTGAGTTGCTTTCAGAGCAGACCGTGGGGATGTCTCGAGCGAGGCGCTTGTTTTAGCTCCGCACGGGGCAGCCGCCATGGAGTGTTGCAAGGGCCTTTTCGCGGCCAGACTGTGGGGATTTCTCGAGCGAGGCGCTCCTTTCGTGGCTTGGACTCCTCCGCTTTCATGCTCTTGCGATCGTCACAGGGCGAGGCAGAACAGCAAGTGGTGTTAGAGAGCATCGCTCTCGCTCAGACTTGCGCGCGCGGTCGTTCTCACAATTAGACTGACTCGAGCTCGGCTCCTCGCTGGGGGAATGCCAGAGAATGGCGTGCACACATGGGGATCTCCGCATCGAGTAATTGTTGTCGTGTACGCTACGTTTACCGAGCGAGACAACACAGTGCTCCTGCGGAGGCAGCACAACACTCCTTTGGAAGCAATGCAGTACTCCTCCGGAGAGACTACACTACTCCAGCGGAGGCAATACAATACCCCTGCCAGGGAAACTACCACACCCCTGCCAGACACAATACATTACTCCTGACTCCTGTCGGCACACGGGATGCGATTGGTTTGCGGGAAACACTCTAAAGCCGCCACTCGAAGCGACCCGCGAGTGTCCAGGACATGGCTTCCCACTGGAGCTGCGCTGTCAATGCCATCCGCCGTCGAGAAGACAATCATGACGCGCGCAGGCCAATTATACATACAACGAGCGCAACGAGGCAACGAGCGCACGTATTAAGACAAGTGCGCTCCACTACTCGCAAAGTAGCTTCTCGCAAATGGCCTGGATCTGCCGCTTACATCGATGGAAGAAGTGATTTTTTCAGGCGCTCGCGAGTAGGCACTTTGCAAATAGTGGAGCGCGCTCGGTGAGCATTTTCCTCCGACCAGGAATCAGCACACACTGTTTTCGTCGGCGGCGAGCCAGAGGCAGTCCGCAACAGCTTGTGGCTGTTCGGAGCAACGGAGAAGCGAATTGTCCCGGGTGCAAAAGGAAGGAAAGAAGACGAGGGCGGCCGCGCGGGGGGGAGGGAGGGGGGAAGCGCCCGGACGTGGAGGGAGAAGAGGAAGGAATCGACACATACACACACAGCAACAAAAGGGCACCCTTGAGGCAGAAGACCGGGAACAGCTCTGCACAGCTCGCGCTGGGCGGGCAGGACGGGGTGCCCGAGGGGGTCACGAGGGGCCACCGATCTCGGGGGCCCGGGCTCCCTCACCGGGCGAGGTTGGAGGCACGCGCAGGTCCCCTACAGACGAGCTGCTTGGGGAACCAAGCGGATGGAATGTCAGGGTGAGTGGAAGACCGAGTCTCGGAAATTGGAAGAAGAAATAACGACATAAACATTAACTTGTGGCGCTCCGGGCGGACTTTTTAGGATCTGCGCTGGGCCCCCCTCCCCCTCCCTGGCGCGCGGAGTGTGCCAGGGGTGGCGCCTAAGGTGCCGCCGGGGTGGCCCACGGCAGATCCAAGACATCCGCGCGGAACGCCGACAGTTGATGTTGATGGCGACTTCTTCGAAGGATGTTCGGTTGGATGCGGATGCGCGTGTGCGGCAAAATGACCACCATGAGCGTGCCCCACCAAAGCAGCGACTCGTGCCTTGCACTGCGAGGTCGCGCCTGACAACATATCCGCGTGCACTTGATCCTGTGATAGCTTGCAGGATCGTTTTCGGTTGAAACAGGTGGTCGACACGTGCGTCTGACACGCGGCTGCGAATTATTGCGTGCCGAATGCAAAAAAAGAGCATCGTAGCCGCCACGTTGAAAAAGTTAGAGGCCCACTATCTACATCGGAGACAAAGCACTCCGTAGAGCTCACCTCTTTGATGAGGAATCCCTGGATAAGGAAACGGTGAATGAGAGGGTGGTGCTTTTGACTGAAGAGTGGCAATGTAATCCTTATCGGACTCCACAACGGCCACTGTGGTTTAAAATGTGGCGGGACACACTATTTCGACTTCCTCACTGCACTGAGGTGCTCGAGGGCGCATCTAAGTGTGTGCGTGAACTACGCTCTGCGGTCCTGGCACTGGCCTTTCCAGTGGGACGCCAGCCGTATCGGCCATACTCCTGGTTCCCTCTCCCTGGCTGGCTGGCAAGACTACAATGCACAACGTGTTTCTCAAAGTGCATGTGCTGTTCCAGGTGATGTCACAAGGCGCATCTAGTTTACACCACGACTGGCAAGCACTGAAACAATGAAGTGGCCATGAGGCAAACAACTCTGCCACACCATTGCGTCCGTCCGCGCTGACATTCAATCCACCCCCACCGCCCACGTTGCCCCACGCGCGACAGCTGCAATGCCCTGGATCTATGCAACTGTCACTCTGCAAGCACCGTCCGTGCGATACTCAACTCAAGGGCGCTTTGTGGAGCTTAACCACATTCCCACCGACCAAATCCTCCTGCCGCGAAGCCGTCTGTAGACCCTCATGCTCCTGATTCACCATGCGCTTCTCCGATCGCCGAACCCTAACAACGCTTATCCTAAACCTCCCCCCATCGGCCCCCCAGAACTCCAGAGGCGCGTAAACGGAAATATCGACTGGTGCATGTCGCTCCAGTGGACGACGGCGGCGTAGCGGCCTGCGCTCTCGACCTTGACAACTGCAACGTCCTCTGGAACCTGACGGGCGAAGAAATGTCTGCACAGGGAAGGGGATATCGAGAGAAACGCACGACGCAGGACTGCGAGGCTCTCGCGTTATCTCACCCAATCCCTGCTCCTGCACCCTGCAAGCTTCGCACAACGATTCGATCTGTGTGTTTCTAGTTCTACTGGCTCCACGTGAGGCCAGCAGGCGTGCCCCACTAAAGAACATCCCTCGCCCCGCCGACGAGTAAACACAATGAACATCCTCAACCATGTACACTCCGATTTGCAGGATAACTAAATTGCACATCGCGCCCGCCTTACATCATTCATGTTATTCGTGAAAGGTCCTGCGCAACTCCAAGACCGACCGGTCTTAAAGCTGCGATGCTTAACGAACGAGATGGCCTTAGCCTGGTC